GCTGAAAAATGTCAAAAAATTACGCACGAGTACCCTGCGTACGTTCCATCTTCGCGTGATTTATTATCGATCAGCTGTCAAGTATGTTTTTGTTTTTTTTTTTTTTTTTCATTCTCCTTTTATGAACAACAATCGAAGGCTATTGTTAAAAAACACAAGTCATTTCTACTTTTTTATAGAAAATTGATAATTGATAATTGGAGGCGGAAAACGTGATAAATCAAATTTTTTATTAACTTCAAAATCGAAAATCAAATGTCACAGAGTTTGGTTTTGGAGCTGAACTGTAAACTTTTAACACTGTGTGTTATTCCCCATAGTATTAAGTTATTGAAAATACAAAATACAAAAATATATAAAATCCACTCGTTTAAGCATCAAGTAATATTAAAATCCTGAAATCAACAGAAACGTTTTCATCGTGTTCTTCTTCTAAAATTCAAAGTCCTTTCCATTTCTGGAGGAGAAAAATTTGGCAAAAAAGTTTAACAAAAATGTACCATCTGCCTATATATTTTCGTGCTTGAGAATTGGAATTAATGCGTTCTCGATGGAAAAATTGATGGCGGAACACGCGCGCGTGTTGATTTACGACAGGACGGAAACGCGGGAATTAATTGAATTCGTTTTAGTTAATTATATAGCGAATAAACAATGGAAAGCCCTCGGTTGGCTCACCAGTCATCGTTTCGTCCAGACGAAAGTTTCGACCCTTTTGCTTTTGTGACTCGTTCGAGCCAGAATCGTGCACGCACGTGCGCCTATAATTCGTTGAAATTAATAAAGCCCTTTATTTACGCAGCGTTACGCGTATTATTACTTAAAGGCATTACTGCATTGTAGACAAACAATGAAATTGCTGAATGAAATCTCCTGGGTGCTGATAAATCCGCCGATATATATATTTGTCTGCTCCATTTATAATTTTTCGATGCGAGAATTTATGCATACGAGCATTATTTTTATTATTTTTGCGTCTTTCGAGATTCAGATAAATGTACTATATTATATATTATATATTATATCATAGATTTATGATAAATAGGTGTATGATAAATTGTTAGATTAAAGACATTAAATAAAGATAACATTGTGATACACGTATCTTATAAATTCATATTAAATTATATTGAAGATGCTAAATGTGATGATTTAAATTTTAAAAAAGGTTATACGTGGTAGTCGTTTCTAGCTTTTCCTAGGGACAATTTGTGCACGAACATTGTTTTCATTATTTTTGTGCCATCCTGTACAATTTGCATGATATTTAGGCGAAGGTATTATATCATGGATTCATATTATATCGAAGGTATTAAATTTAGATACGTTATATGATACGTAGTTAGGTTAGTGCAGCTTGGTTTCTTGCGAATCGCCTTTAGCGTGAGATTACGCGCGAATTTTCGTTTCAAGAAAATGAAGATTCCGCTCACTTTGTATTAGTTTATTAAGAAATTGTTCGATAAGCGCACGCAGGCGAATATATATCGTCGTAGATAACTTTTTCGCGAAAACAGCCCGGAAAGTATATCGAAATGGTCAGGTCAATGAACTCGAAGGTTATGAACTTTTTCATTCTCTCTCTGATATTCTGTTATCTATTTTTTAAATAGAGAATTTTTTTAAAAATTTATAAACTAGAATGATTTCAATTTCCAATATTACACAGAAATTAGACACATTAGGTTATAAAATATTTATTATATAATTTCTTTATCTCTAAATTCAAGTCTTTTAAATCATTTAATGTTTCAAAAAATGCATGATAATTTAGCGATATATTCGAACGAATGATATTTCGATGTATATTAGAAACATTCAATTAATATAAATATGAAAATCGTACTTCATTTTGGAATGAAATAGATTTCAAAACATTAATAAAATTGGTCATGCAGGTTACTATTATATTATTAATATCATAATTCATGTGTGTATAAAAAAGTTATAGATTTAAATGTAGATTTTTCAATATTTTATATAAAAATAGAATGCTCGA